ATGCAACGTATGAAATTACATGGCGTGGATCTATGTGTTGTGGGGAGAACTGCATTGTTAAGTCATTGTTTGTAAAACTGTTCGTTATAGTTGTAACTTGTAAGAAATACAAAATTCCGTCAATTAATTATTACTTATAGTGGGACTATACCAAATATCTACGATCTTTATGTAGTAGACGACAAGAAAATCAGAAGTCTATTTGTGTATACACACACACAAAATTATGCTATCAAAAATAGAACTATATTTTCGTAGTTTCCTTTTATACAATTCATTTTTTTGTTTGGAATTTTCAAAAATAGAAAGCATTTACAACAAAAAAAAACGCTTAAAGCATAAATATATATATATTTATTTTCCCAAAATCATGTGATAAATCCATAACCATGCAACTTCTCTTTTATGCGAAAACTAATAACCCATATTCAATCAGGTTTTAAAATAGGAATGCTAAAGATAGATGAACACTATATGTTGGCTTTGTTGTTTGTTCTTTCGTTAGTGGCTGGTGATTGTGTTGTTAATCTCTGAGTAACAGCGACTAATCTCACCGACATGACAAAGATTTATGATGAAGTATTTGGATTCTAATTTTTGTAGTGACAATATATTAAGTTAATTGCTCATTTTATGCAGAAACTGACCCGAGAATAATCTCTAAGTTGGTAAAAAAAGATAACCCTCGATTTGACTGAATTCGCGTAGCACAAAGATATATTAAATCTTAGACCTACTAGTCTCTAAAATCGCTTCTATGAAATTAGGCAGTTGAAACCTTAGATTGTAGAACTCGTGAAGCACATACCAAATAGTCTCTTAAAGCGTCTCTACGGTGTTTGGTAAGGATGGTGCCACAAAAAATGATGGAAAATTGTTTGATAAGGCGGTTGATCACTACATATATTACACACAGTGATCGAAAATTTTACAAAGAACCAAATGAGAATTATTAACAAAAAAAAAATTAGTTGATTAAAAAGTTGTATATCTTTCTCCAATAAAGATTATATCAATTCAAATGAAAGAAAATTTGAAAATAAATCTAGATAATAAATAGTTAAATGCTGAGGATTCTCTATGTCAGTTAGGGTCTTAGAGTTTGAGGCGGTTACTTCGGTTTTCATACCTAAACTACACTTGTGGTTTTCCGTTTCTCTTTTTAAACCATTGGCGAAGTTCGTAGTGGTTCAAGAAGGTTTTGGATCGCCAATTAATGTAAGTTCTTTAATGTTCGTATTAGCTTCCGGAGAAGCTATAGACACGGTTCGAGCAAGGGTATTGAGGGCTGACCTTGGATCATTGGGGCTCGTGGCAACTACAATGTCAATCTCAGTTTTGGTATTTGATATAAGACTGGAAATCAATCATTTATCTTAGTGATCACACGAGCTTTGGCGGAAGTGGACGATATAGAGATGGATGGTGCTCTAGGTGAGTGGAGAGTGTAATCCACGTGACTTTTTGAGCTGGAATGTTTGGTTTTAATTTGGTCTCCATTTGAACTAAGCACAACTCGCATGTCTCTTTAGC